GGAGTTTAAATTTGTCTTTAGCTTTTCCAGTTTACATGTAATGTTCTCTATTCCACATGTCTTCCACTGGTCATGATCTATGCCATTTTATGGACAACGCAGAAGGTGATGTGATCAGAGGCTAGGATTTACTCAGATCTTATTAGGTTCTCCGAGTTTCTATAGGCATGTCGCCTCAAGTCCTTGAGCATTATTTTCCAGGGCTATTCTGCTTCTGGCTGTTTCAATGTGAATTATCCTTTGTACCTGCTCTCTTCTGATCACATAATTCAGCTAATCAGTGGTTCTCAACCTGTGGGTCGGGATCCCATTTGGGGTCGATCGACCATTTCACGGGGGTCGCCAAGCAAGGCTGTCCGCCATTTTTTTTGTCTGCCATTTTTTTTGTCCGCCATTTTTTTCCCCTTTTCCGGTGGGTGCCTTACCTCCCTTGGGCTGGGCCAGCTGGTGGTCGGCCTGCTCCGTCTCTGCCACTTGCCAGCTACGCCTCGGCCGGCGCAGGGGGTGGAACCACGCATGCGTGGCGCTCCCGGGCAGGGAAAGTCCTCAACTTACGACCAGTTGGGTAGTCCTCGACTTACAACCGGTTTAGTCCTTGACTTACGACCGGTTTAGTCCTCGACTTACGACCGGTTTAGTCCTCGACTTACGACCGGTTGGGGTCGCGGCATTAAAAAGGTTGAGAACCACTGAGCTACGTGGAATTGAAGATCTAGCAAATAAAGATCCATTTCTCCTTGCTTCTCCTTCTATCCCACCTAAGGTAGTGCTGACAGCTGATCCCCAGGCTGGGGTATCTAGAGAAGCAGGAGATGGGAACTGACCCCTGTCCATTACCTCTCTAACTGCACAGGGCTGATCTGTGGGATCAGCACTGCTAGTGGTTAAAGAGTCATATCTCCTTCATCTAACTTGAAAAGTAAGTAGGAAATGCTATGGAAGGAGGAGGCAATCCATTACAGAAAAGCAACAGAAAGCAAGCAATCCATTACAGAAAAGAAGTACAGGATTTAAACCTTGGAGAATATATATCCAGAGAACCAAATTCTTAGCTTTTTTGTTTAAGCTGCTCTTCATTATAACCCAGGTTATCTTTAAGTGCAATAAAGTATTTTGTCTACCTAAGTCAACTTGTCTACTTCTTGTCTTCTGGTAAGAACATTGAATTCCAGGGAAAATTATTTCAGGGGCCTCTGCGCAATGTGAGAATAGATTCCCATACTGATAAGGAAACTGGCAACTATTGCGTAAACATTATCCAGGTGCAGGCCAGCTCACATTCTCCCTCAACAGAAAGTGTGAGAAAAACAGGTAGAAATGAATTGTGCTTTGAAATACATATTACATTTGAAAACAAAAGTTCTGGATAGAATTCTTACGCTCTCATCTTAAATATTTTTTTCTTCATAACGGAGCCTGTTTCCAGTCTTGCCTATAGTTAAAGAGTTCTGACAGGCGTCCCTGAACAACTAGGGCTGTTGTGATGAAGGGGAATCTCTCCTGTTCTTACACAGTGACTTAAGAGCTGTTGGCACTACTTTTCATGAATCTAGCACTGGCAGCCTTCACTCCCATATGAAAGACTGGACAGAAAGGCTACCCAATAAAGTGGGGGAGCTTTTCTCAGTTTATTGGAAACCCCAATCAACCCACTGATCACTGGACTATCTTAAAAAGGAAGCCCCCACCTATAGATCAGCTGACTGACAGGTCTGCAAGACAAAGGCAATGCCAGAAAGTCTTCTTTTTTTTTTCAGGAAGTCCAGTCTGCAGAACAGCAGACTTGATACCATCTTTTAGCAGATGGTTAAATCCTTATGTCTATCCATCTTCAAGCTTGGCTCCTCCAGCTCCAGCCCAACCTTTTATTAGGGACAGCAGCTGGTAAATGCAGTGAGAGGAGAAATAAAGATGGGGAAATTCACCAAATATTTTTTTTTCTAATTAGTCCCACATCCAATTTGTAAGAATAGCTAAATATATCAGGACAACACCAGTCCCTGGTCTCATCACTGAGGGTGAATAGGACAAGAACAGTCAAGGAAGAGCAGTTTGCACCATCATATTTCTCTTCCACCTTAGACTGGAAGAATGTGCTTTAATGTGGCTGTGAGAAAGAGCCCTTTAACATATCTAATTCAAGCAATCAAAATGCTAGGCTATATGTTCTTTTAGTAATCTGGGGAAGGGGACAAATTGACTTCCAAAAGTTCACTTGTAAGATTCCCTGCCTTCATGTTACTATTTGAATATTCCGCATATATTTTAATACTGTACGGCCTAAATATTCTCAAACTGAGAAGTTATATTTGTGTTACCCAGCCCATTTATGTTAAACTTTTAGCTCTCTAGAGATAAGAGGAATGCACTCAAATTATGCAGACCAAAAATCAACAGTCTAAAGAGGATAGTAATGTACCAGAAAGACATGACCACAGGCTACTGTAATACCTTTGAGTCTATAGATAACATTTCACCAAAGAAAACAAACAAAAAACAAGACTCGGAGATTTCATTTACATCAGTATCTGTATTTCAGAGCTCTGAAACTTAGCTAGTTTAGTCACAGTACGTATAGTTCACATTTCCGCAGTTACATGCAAAGATATAATTGCGGTATTTGGAACTTGTTTGCACTGTGAGATTCTATTTTTTTTCTGCAGCTTTTCTACAATAAATCTGCTTTACACACAGGAACTGTGAATGTTCTACTTCCCATTGCAAGTATTTCAAGTTCTTTGGGCTAATCATAGGCTTTAGCAAACTTATAAACAGCAATTGCAGCTGATCTCAACCTGTTTCAATCCACATCTGAACATATTCCAGGTAGTTTCAGGTCAAGAATCAGTACTGGAACTACCTTTATCATCCTGATGGGTGACTTTCTCTAGAGGAAAATGGAGAGTACAACTCTATTGATCCTTCTGGATATTCTTTGAATCCTTCCACCATGGTACGCTGCTAAGTTGGGGCTGGACTAGGAGGCATGGTTTCTCATCCTCTTTATATAGCCACACTAGAAGGCTTCCACTTGACCTGTTGCTGGGCTGGGGTATCCTACAGGGTCCATTAAATCACCCTTATTGTTTAAAATGTATATGGAATAGTTGTGAGATAATCAGAATATTGGGTGTTCTATTCATATTGTTAGTCAGGCGAGGCAGGGCAGGTAATGGATCAATGTCTGCATGATGTAAAAAGCTGGATGAAGGCCACTAAAGTGAAGATGAATCTTAACACGATGAAGACATGGAGGATTGATGATTTGGCACACAATAGGAAGAAAGGAAGTCCAAGGGCAATAGCACATCCATAAGGAACTTACAGAAGCTCATAAGCCAAGTTTTATGATAGCATGAATTATTATTTGAATGTAGTCCATCTGGCATCTATTCACAATTTGTCGACAATCACAACTATACAGGTGAACTGTCTCTTACCAAACATTAACCAGTTCGAAACAATAATGTAGTATGCATCACAAGAAATCTCAGCAATTTCACATGTAGAAATTACCTCCTGCCTCTTTTCTAAACTAAGCCCTGCAAATTATCCAATGCACTGACCAGCACTGTCAATGAACACAACTAACTTAATGAATACAATCTTAATGAGCACAAATATCTCAATTAAAAATTAATTTTGCAGTCTTTGTGAAATAGATTTAATGATTGTTTCTTTTCTAATTTTATCACAGGAGCATTAATGTACACCTTAGGAACATCCCAACTGGCACAGATCAGAGACAGATATTTTCTTGCTCCAGTGATCTTCTCTTTTATGGTTGACTGGAGTTGAGCAGTGCCCTTGTCAAATGAGACAGACAGACAGAAGACAGATGGATGGATAGACAAACAGAAGACATGGCACTATACTTGTTCACTCCCATTTAGGTGACTCTGATAGTGGGAATTGGTGACAATGCTGAGGCTAGTCTGAAGTAGAGGGCTGGACCACTGCTGGCATTCAAAAAGGCCACTTTGTGCTGTACCACAAGGCACACAAGCCTTGGGGATTGGCATGATTGCCTCTGCAGCCCAGCACTCCCCAGGATCTGCCACTTACCTTCAGGTGATGCTCTTTCTGTGGACAGGCCCCTGTGGCCTATCCAAGGCTGCTCTGGGTCACACAAGGCCTTTGCTCTTGAATGGCTTTGGAGAATATTCTTTTGTGATCTCTGCAGCCTCAAAAAAAAATGCATGAAAACACACCCCATTCTTGTATGATTTTTGGAGGCTGCAGAAGCTGCACAAAAAATACCTCATTCATGCATGGCCTCAGAGGCCTCCAAAAAGTATGTGGGAACAAGTGTGCTTTTGAGAATAGTTGTTGTTTGGTATTGGTAAACTCTGGTGTGTCAGCCAAAACACTGTGGCATATCACTTTGACACATGTGATAGGTTCGTCATCACTAGGATATATAAACCATAGAGATAGTTTCCTCTCTCAATTTCTCTTGCAGGTTTTTTTGTTGTTGGTTTCACTCTAACAGCTGCATTTACTTTGTCACTATAAGACTTTTTTTCAGTGAATACATTTATAATACTAAACTCTGTCACCTGTGGTTTAAAAATGATCATAAAATACATGCTTAATAAGCCGTAAGAGAAACACACAGAGCACACATTAATGTTTCTTCTCATATTCCTCTCCATAGAAAATATGGATGAATGAAATTAATAATAAGCAATTTAAAAAAGAGCATTTTAAAATAGCAATAACACTTAGACTTTTATACTGTCCCATAATGCTTTGCAACACTCTCTGAGCGATTTACACCATCAGCATATTGCCCACAAGAATCTGGGTCCCCATTTTACCGATCTTGGAAAGATGGAAGACCAAATCAACCTTGAACCCCATCAGGATTGAATTCCAGACTGTGGGCAGAGTTTACCTGCAATACTTTAATCACTGCACCACCAGGGTTGGTTTCCAAACGCAGAGCATTTAGTCAGTAGAAAGCGCTTAATTTTTAACAGACTTCGTAAGTACTGTACCTGTTTTGGTCAATGGGCTTGAAAAAAGCTGCTGAAGAAGTTTGTTCTCTGAAGTCCTCAATACCACCATTATGTCAGCAGGAAGGGTGTCTCTGTTCTTCTCAAGGAAGCCATAAGCATCATACTGAACCTATACAATGTGGGAGTTAAATGTGAAACAGGCTCTTATACGTTTCTGTCACCTGTAGTACTTTAAGTAAAGGTTGGGAAACTTTCCCCTCTAATTCCCTGTGTAGTGCTTCATCACCCATATATATATTTATGTCTAATTATTTTCATATGCACACACTCACAACTATTTTCCCTCTTCAGCAATCTCAGTACCACTTGCTATACAAGAAGAGTTAAACTTTTCTGCTTCCCACTCTCTTTGCCTCTTGTTTTTCTCCTGAATTTTAACTGTTGCAGCCACTGCTGATTTTGCAGAAGGCTTTGTTTCTGGATGATTTACCAGACACAGAGACCTTCCAATATAGACTGGTACAAAACGCTCAAGTAACTGAGTTTTTCAAGAATTTGTTTTCAAAAAATAGTCTGTTCCTTGTAAACCCTGGCAACCATAAAGTAAGGAGCCAGCAGGAAATGTTTTGACTTCTGCACTGAGAAGATTGTGGTCTTCAGCCTTAAACAAACAAGGCATTTCATGAAATTGGTAGTGATAGGAACAGTTGCAGTTCCAAGGAAAGGACCAGCAACACTATAGGCTGTACCTATGGCTGTACCACCATGTTTTAAATCAAGAATTAGGATCAATGCCCTGCCAAATGGATTTAAGACAACTGAAGTTCATTGTACCTTCTGACTCAGTTCTATTGGTCATCATGTGTCATCAAATACCATGGGTTGTAAAACAGTTTCCAAATTTTAAAATGTAAATTCGTTAAAAGCATTAATTAGGGAAGAAAAAAACTGAAAGTTGTTTAAGGGAAATCTAAGGACTTGATAATTTATTACATTTAAATTTAATATAAGTTATGTATTTACCTTTCCAGCATAATGATGAATGCCAAAACACAGCTCCACTCGTTTGGGTCTCCAGAAATATTTGCACCGCAGATTATCTTCAAATTTATCTATGCATTTTTAAAAAAAGAAAACAATATTAATGGCCCATTCTTTTGATGGCCGCAAGGACAAATCTTTTCACATTGCAAAATAGATAAGATGCTGATGATATCAGATTGGGAAACCAAACTTGAAGAATATACAGCAATGGCAAAACTAAAAATTTAGTTAAAAATGGAAATTTAACTAAATTCAAGCAAGAATGACTTCCCTCATATATTACTCAGCAAGGCAAATTCAGACATTTGGAGTATGGTTTCAAATGGGAAAGAAACCAAAACAGAAAAAAGGAATAAAATAAATAGAAATCAGAAACAATTCTTAAGGTTTAAAATATGTATATTGCAATTATCAGGGCACAATGGAAGGGAAATGTATAACTTGTAATCAAGTAGTATCTTAGTAATGTTTTAACTTATTTTTTCTTCTTTTGTATACCAATAGCCACTTTTCTTCTCTATTTTTATGTAACCATTACATAGAGTAGAACCATTTAGAAATTAGTATTTACTTTCTAAATAAGAAATTTGGACATTCTATAGACTTAGAAGACTGGCAAAAACTTTGGGATAAAAACATTAAACTTACTAAAGCAGTAACATATAAAGAAAATTTATATAAGATGTTTTATAGATGGCATATGACACCAGTTCGATTAGTGAAAATGTTTAAAAATGTGTCCAATACTTGCTGGAAATGTAAACAAAAACTAGGCACTTACTACCATGCCTGGTGGATATGCCCTAACACAAAGAAATATTGGCTTAAGATTCATAGATGGCTGGAAAAGATGACAAAAATACAGATAGAATTTAAACCGGAATTGTTTTTCCTAGGAATAGTACAATCTAATTATGGTAAAGAGAATGACTATTTAATACTACATGTATTAACAGCTTGCTCCACACCATTCGGAATTCTGGGAGTTGAAGTCCACGAGTCATAAAAGAGCCAAGGTTGCCTACTCCTGCACTAGGCACTGTAATGCCTGGAACATACTCTGCTTTCAGAAATTACAGGGGTTCTTTACCTATGCTAGTATACCAATTTTTTGAAACATCACTGACTGGTTATAAGTATTCAGTAATTTTTCAAATGAGGGTTGCTGGTCAATTTAAACCTGTCCTGTCCCAGATAAATGTATTAAAGATTTTCTGAGCACTTACTGCTTTGAGAATTGAAGTTACCCATATCTACCAGTTCAGTAGAACTGTTTCCAAACGTAGCCCACTTGACAGATTTCTAGTATCTTTCTCAATGAGATAAATACCAATTCTCCTAATCAGTAAATTCTTTTACAAGACATATCAATCTAAATAGTGGTTACAAAATTATTTTTAAGCTGTTTCTTTCACTTATTTTTCACACAGCTAGACAGGTAATATTGCTAAAGAAGCCTAGTTTATTTCTAATGGGAGTAGGATTTTTTTTCTTCCGTTTTTAAAGTGACTATCTTTTCCTGCTACAGCTTGATACACTCCCAGTTTCACAGAAGCTCTGCTGTAAGGCTCAATTCTTTCTATGTGTTATTTCTTATTCAGGAATTGCTTAATCGGCGGATAACTCTCAGATGTGGTTTGAACTGACATATCAGCTGAACTGATATGCATTCAGTTGCTTCCATTAATAATAACTAACAGTTTATTATATGGAGATGTCTTTCTAAAATTATTACAAAATACTCAACAATTTAATCAGTTGACTCCAAGAGTTTAATGCAGTCAGCTTGGATTTAGACTTTATAAAAGATACTAATTGTTCTCTTGCTTTTTCTTTTGTGTGTATTTATATATATGTAACCATTTGGGATTTCTGAACAGGTCATACCAACTAAAGTGAGGTCTGTTGCTTGGGGAAATCGGCTTTCTTCATCCAGTAGAGAAAGTAGTCCCATTGGTTTCTGAAGAAACATATCTAAGAGTGGTCTGTTGTCTTCATAATCAACCAAGACAGCATCAATCCCTTCATTTTGATATTCCATCTAAAGTATTACAAAAGTTAATAAGTCATAAATATCACTATGGGAATATTCCATATTCAGCAGTCTGGCCTTTCTTATTTATCTAGTTGCAATGCTGAGAAAACAATAAGGCAAGCAATTTTCAAAACATGTTGCTGCTTTGGGAAACGCTTCTCTTACACTTGTTCCTGGTTTTCACGTAACTAAAATTCATATGTTGCTTTTAATTCCACTGATTTGTAGAAAAAAGTATCTTTTATTTAACACAATAGCACACTATTGCATACAAAAACAATATATTCCAAATGCATTGTTCAGTCTATAGCAAAGATAACAAATTTTAATTGCTATATACAATACTGTGTTCATAGAAGTTGCATGTGTGTCCAATAAATTCACAGGGTGAAAGCTTTTTCCCTTTCTGAGAAAATGTTTATTTTCACAGAAGACAGATGAAGTCATAAACTTCATACCAAAATCATCTTCTTTGGATGATTGGTCTTACAAGTCCCAAGCCGAGCCTGCAGAATTTGCTATGGAGTCAATCAAAGCTTACCTGCTCAAGTGCAAATATGTGCTGATTGAAATAAAATTGGATCTGTTCATTTGCAATGTTTATGCACAGCTGTTCAAATGAGTTCCTTGTAAAGTTCTCAAATCCAAAAATATCCAATATCCCAACATTCATTCCACTTTCAGCATTGCTGTTTGAAAATGAACCAAATTTTTTTAAATATCAAATATAATACTATAATATGTTCCTGATTTTCCACTATATAACCTATGAGTTCAGTTTTTGAACCTGTGCTTATTTTTAGTGTTGTTGTCTTACTATTTTGAAGTAAGATATTAAACAGAATAAGTATTTCTTTCTGGGACAAAACTTAACACTGCAAATATGAATGCCTTAAAGAAAAAAAAGTTCATTTCTCCACTATCGATTTATAGTATCTTCTAGATCATTCAACCATTATTGTGCCAAAGTAACAGGCTAAGAAATATTCAGGCTATGAAGATGCAATAAATCACTAGTGTGGAAATAATCAGATACAAAAATATACACACTCCTAAGTAAATTATCACTTACCAACTTAGGTAAACATTACAGTGAATGTTTCCTAACCTAGCAAACTTAACTATGGCATTTCTTATTAGAATTTTGACATTTTTAAACTAAATCTACAGAACAGCTAATAAAGATTAGCAACCTGTGCCCTCTAGATCAGGGGTCCCCAACCCCTGGGCCATGGGCTGGCACTGGGCCGTAGTATGCCAGAAACCAGGCCGCACAAATAAGTGGAGCCCCATCTGTGGGATGCAGACAGCATACGAAACCACACCAGTCCATGGAAAAAACTCTCTCCACGGAACCAGTCCCTGGTGCCCAAAAGGTTGGGGGCCGCTGCTCTAGATATAGTGGATTACAACTTCCATTATATTCCACACTCCAGAATGTCTTATATGTGGTCGTCTTAGCTGGAGCTGATGGGAACTGAAATATGGAATGTTGTTTATTCCATGGAGCAGTTCTTAGCAGTGTAGATCATCTACCATTCTCAAAGACATGTTGGTTCATGCCAGCCAAGACGAATTCATCATTAGTAGCTTCCCTTCTGCTGGAATTAATGGGTGGGGAAAATCACTCTGTTAATGCCAAGCTAGCATGGAAAAGGGAACCAATCCAGACACTTTTTAAGGGAACTAAAGGGTACAAGATTCAAAAGTTGATTCTTCCTGCCTTTGCAGGATTAATTAGGGGCTGATGGGCTAATATGCTCAGTCTTTCACTGGCAAAGCTTCTTTCTCTTAGATGAGAGGCTTCTCCAACCCAACCAGGTTTACTTTTGGTCTCAGAATTACCAAACATTTGAACAAAGGATACATTGATATTGCTATATTGGCATAGTTAAACACAAGAAGTTAATGACTGGGATTGAATTCAAATGTTTACTTTGTGCTGAAGATAATAAAATGAAAAACAGGAGGAAGATAAAAGATAATGTAATTAAAATATCTTCTAGTATCTTTCCAGGGAGGGACGTGATTTTAACCCAAGTGAATCCCATTTACCTACTTAGTTAAATCCCAATCAAGTCTTTGAAAACGCTGGAGTTAATGTCCCAGGAACAAAAATGCAAAATCACAGCATGGAAACCAATTTGAGGCATTATCTAAAATGAACAGTAAGCTCTTGATGTAAAATAGAGAAATATGTAGGCATCAACAAGTAAATATGCAATTTATTGACTGTTAACTTGCCATATATTTTTATCAGGTTGCAGCAGGCTATTAATCCGATTTACAATCCAGCTGAAGAGTCGGCCATAAAGAGCTTTTGACATGGCATCTCGTACATCAGCTGCTTTGTCCACAGTATTTGTTCGAATAATGGTCTCACCTCGTGTGACAACACAATGTGAGGTGAGAGCCTCCTGAAGTTCTTCTGAGCCAATGCTCAGTAATGCAGCAGCTGAAAGACAGGGATGTTGTAAAATGGGGGCCAAAGTGCTAGCTATCCGGTGTGAAATTAGATTTCCTGATCATATTCTGCATTAGGACAATGCAGAGATTTTAGCAAATATTTACCATTATCTAAGGCTTCCATATTGGGCACTTCACTTTTATCAGTTTGGTGCTGTGAAGAAATTGCAGCAAATTCAATATTTCCTGTATTTAAGATCCCAGCCAAAATTCGATACACTGAATGCACTTCCTGAAAATGGTAAAAGAGAGTCAGAACTATAAACATCAACAGGTTACCAACACAACACTTTGGGGAACACATACATTCTGAGGACAGAATATTTGCATATAATTCCATAATCCGAACGCATCAAGCCATACTGTCCCTCTCAAATTATAATGTACGTTCAAAACCTTAGCACTTTTGATCATTGCAAAAGCTGGAAGGTGCTAACCTAATGTAGCCACACTTCATGGTCTTAGAGGATTCATATCATTATTCTTTTTCTTTACTTCAATGTGTACTTCTATCATTTTATTTCTAATCTTATCTTAGATTGATAGCCTCTTCAACAGCCAATTTCTATTGATTGATTGATTCATTCATTTATTTATTCTGAGCAATGACAGAATGTTTATTTTGACTCTTTATATATCAGTTTTATGTTGTTGTTAATTGCGAAGTCGTGTCTGACCCATCGCGACCCCATGGACAACGTTCCTCCAGGTCTTCCTGTCCTCTACCATCTTCTGGAGTCCATTTAAGTTCACGCCTACTGCTTCAGTGACTCCATCCAGCCACCTCATTCTCTGTCGTCCCATTCTTCTATTGCCCTCAATCTTTCCCAGCATTAGGCCCTTCTCCAATGAGTCCTTCCTTCTCATTAGGTGGCCAAAGTATTTGAGTTTCAACTTCAGGATCTGGCCTTCTAAAGAGCAGTCAGGGTTGATCTCTTCTAGGACTGACCGGTTTGAACGCCTTGCAGTCCAATGGACTCGCAGGAGTCTTCTCCAGCACCATAGTTCAAAGGCCTCAATTCTTTGTCGCTCAGCCTTTCGTATGGTCCAACTTTCACATCCATACATTGCAACTGGGAAAACCATGGCCTTGACTATACGCACTTTTGTTGGCAGGGTGATGTCTCTGCTTTTTAGTATGCTGTCTAGATTTGCCATAGTTTTATATACCAGTTTAATTCTTCGTATGCCAGTTTTTCTGTCTATAAAAGAAATCTGCCAAACTGTGAGATACCTTGCAGTGAAATGGACAGCAAACAAAGTTAATCAATAATCAAATAATAAATAAAACAAATGGGCTAACACCATGCCAAGCAGATCCTAGAAATGTCCTACTGCAATGTGAGCCTCAAAGGCAGAGTTCAAAGAGATTCTGGTGCATCAGAAAAGCCCAGATGGGACCTGGTAGGGAAGGACTGATGAGTTTCTCAAACTGTATTCCTAAATACAGTTGCCTGATAAAATGCCTAATCTATAGTTAAATTATTAAGAAAACTTTATTTTATTATTGTTATTGGCTTCAGAATTATGTGCTTCTGGGGCAATTTAAATGATGTTATTGGTGCCAAATATTGATTCTTCTTCCTCTGGTTTAGTGTTGATTCAAGTTTAGTAATTCGAACTCTAGTGAACCACTCCACTGCTGTTATTACAGTGCTACTCTCACTTGGGAACCACAAAAAGTATTCTACAAGCTACATATAGAATTGTCCAAAGCTGATCCGGTAGCCACCATTGTACCGATTCATGTTCACTTAGCAATGCTATACTGAATAAACCTGAATTAAGTTGCCCACTGAAAAATATAAATTTTTAAAGCAAGACCAACGTTATTCTGGCAACTATATATATATAAAAAAATCATCACTTACCTCTTTAGTAAATCCTATGATCCGAAAGCAATGCTGGATTGCTTCAAACTGAGTACCATAGGATTCTTTGTTAATAATATCATGCATCGTCTTTCCTGTGTCATTTGCAATGTACCTGTGTAAAATACATAACTGAATCTCATTTGATGTCGCAGCTCTTTTCACATCCATAGATCCAGAATTAGCCAAAGAATGTGACCATATTGCTCTACGGCATTGCTCACTTTAAATTAGATAGAGCTGGACGGGACCTTGGAGGTCTTCTAGTCCAGACTTTAATTAAATACATGAAGATTGAAACACCCAGGATTATGGACCTCATAAATCTCTGTCTAACCACATACTTCCAATTTGATAGACAAACTTACTATCAAATTAAAGGTACATTTATGGGATCGCCGCTTTCAGGACCTATAGCAGAGGTTGTTATGCAACATCTACAGTGGACGTTACAGCAGTTACACAAATACAACACAAAATATGGATTAGATATATAGACAACACCTTCACCATAATAAAAAAGGTCCAATTAGAGAACAACACAGAGCCATCAACAACATCTTCAAAGAAATCCAGAGAAGAAAACCACAACCCTTCCTGGATACCCTGATCAGCAGAGACCACAATGGCAAACTAGAAACATAAGTGTACTGAAAAACCATCCACACCAACCATGTACTCCACTATCAAAGCAACAACCCAACCTCCTACAAGAGAAGCCGTGTAAGAACTTTATTTAGACAAGCACAAATTTATTGCAGCAACCCTGAACAGCAGAAAAAGGAAACATATTCCAACGAAACGGATAGCCATGCAACTTTATCAAAAAGTGCCTGACCACTCAACCTAACATAGTACAACCTCTAAAAAGCCCTAGAAAGAATAACACTGCCATACATCAAGAACATACCATAAACCACCAACAGGCTACAACTACATGGAATCAGTGTAGCACACAAGCCAACTAAAGTCCTTCAAAGCATCCTAAGTAAACCAAAAGACCCAGCAGCCCCAGAAGAAAAGACAGGAGTCATTTACAACGTACAGTGTAATGACTGCAACAACCAATACAAAGGACAAACAGGTAGAAGACTGGCAAAATATAGTCATGAATATAAAATAGCAGTCAGAAGACATGGCGAAAACTCTTTAATTACTGACAGATTTAACCGTAGTTTAAATTGGGAAACTGTGACCATCCTAGACCAAGCTAAGCCCCAAAATGCTAGGGAATTTCTAGAAGCCTGGCATTCTGACAAATTAGCCATCAATAGATACATAGACATCAATAATATCTATATACTATGCAAAAGAAACAAGCAACTAGAACACGGGGATGCAGAGGCTTAATGATGCTGCAACTGCCAGACAGAAACGATCTGCACTCCGACGGTTCAAGCCCAGCTCCATGAGACAGAATGAGCTCCTGTCACTGAGTTCCTGTCACCCAATCCCTAGCTCCTGCTCACCCAGCAGTATGAGAGGAGGCAATATTGCAAGTAGATAAAAGGGTTCCACTTCAGTGGGAAAAAAATACCTAGCTATGTTTATGTGTGCAGATAGGGAAGTTGGCACTGGACCGGGCCACACGTGAAGCATCGCAACATGAGGCGAGGCAAGACCGGCAGAGGAGACTGGAAGAGCCAGCAACCCGAGGGCCACTAGCTAATTGGTGTAAACCTACTTCACCTCCCTCCCCCACACTGTACCAAGGATAGGCGTGCAACTGCTGAACAGAATGAATTAGCAATCTAGGCTGTCAGGACTGCATTGTGTCTAGCATTGTATAACGTATAACATTATATGCTATATGTTAAATAAATAAACAAGCCAAAAAGGGAACAAAAAAACCCAAGCACCTCTCCACCAGCAATCAGCACCCAGATGAGTATAGATTAGATCCAAGATTAACATTAGACCAACAATCAAGTAAACAAGACCCCAATCAAGGAACTACCAAACAAGCCAACAATAAAACAGCCTAACCAAAGAACCTCTAGGACCACCTCACCAATACTGACAGAGCAAGCCAGTAGAATATAGTCTGGGAACAAATCCCATTCTTTACTTGCACTGATGATGTTACCTAGTTTGGATAGTGAAACATCTGCAAGAAAACAACCAAGCTCAGAGAGCGCCAAGGACCCCTTACAATGTATAGTTCCTGGAAAGTAAAATAACAAGGCTGCTGCCTGAAAGTCAAATCCATGACTCAAATCCCTTTTGAAGAGCCTATACATAATTTTGAGACTGAGCCAAAAGCTCAGACTAAATCCTTGTTAAAGAACTATTTCAACCAAATCAGTGAGCTTATATGAATGCTAACATACAGTACCTATCAGTTCAACCCAGATTGCAGCATCTCAATAAATATCTAGCTATTTCCTAGATATTGTCATATTCTTGTATAATCAACAAATGTAATCCTTAGGACAAATACCTACTCTCAGCTTAGTCTACCTGACTGGGTTATTGTTGGAAGAAAATGGGAAGAGAGACTATTATATATGCTGCCTTAAGCACCTAAATGAAAGGTAGAAGTCTAATGAGCAAATTAATATTAAAAGGACAACCCCTTGCAGAGAATTGAAAATATATTATTTGCAAAGTGTACAGAAACACATTAAACCTCTCATTCTTATCTCCTTTTTCCATTACTAACACCATGACTAGCATATTATAAGCTGTCCTTTTAATTGATGCTATTATTTTCAAAATGAGGACTCCAAAAAATACAGTTAGGTAAATTTTGGGTCAGTCTCAAAGTTGGGAGAGAGCAAGGCAAGCTCCTTGAGAGATCAGAAACTAGAATACCCGAAGGCAAAATTTGGCCTAATATTGCTAATTACCCAAATAGTAATGTACCAATTTAAAACAATTCATTTGGCTTTGTTTGTCTAGAATGCTAATACATACCATTAACTTTATAATCATCCATTTTGGAAAGCAGATTAAATCCGAGAGTGTGGCGAAACTACGATTAACTGAACTTTTTCATTTTTGATTAATGTAATTAATCCATATATAAATAATAGCATTTCTTCTTGCCTATACAGTTGTATACATGAAAGGACTACCGTGAATGTTTAGGATAAGGGGAATGATTAAGGCAGATTTTAAAACTTCTCACCAAAACAAACGGCTATTCAATATTTAGTTATAACTAGCAATAAACACAAGTCAGCAAAAATTACCTGGGAGGCTTTTTCTCAGGGAGCTTATATTCAGAAAGTTTCTTCTGATGATAAAGACCAGCATAAATGTAGTAAAATATATGGAAGTTTTTCTCTCCTCTGTTAGAAAAAAAAGAATTACTGTAGAGCATAAATGTAAGATGTTATCTTTAACCTGAGAATTCAACCAGTATATAAAACAGTTTCAGGAAGCAATAGTTCCCCCAAACCACATCTGTTTATATACCTAAAGAAATCCATATGTCCAGACTGCAAAATCCATCAGTCTCAGGCTCCTGCTCTATAATTGAGGCAATGAAGTTCTATATTCTCCATCTAGAATAAATGGAGGACACCAGGAGGAAAAAAGGTTCTGAAATGTTATTCTTAAGAAACCAAGTCTAAAATCAAGTTTTGGATTTCTCTCAGCCAATTGCCATTCTTCTGAGCTGTGGTGGGAGAACTTTACATTTTTTAACCCTAATTTTTTAAAAATATATATTTTATTGATTTTTTTTAACATAAGTCACCTTAATATTTGGTAAACAGCGTGTTGTTTGGGTTTCTATTTAAAAACAATCAATAACAATTAATTTCTATAATTCCATAATCCACATAGTAGCTTTCTTTGATTTTCTCTTCTTCCAATAATATTCTCTTTTACCAATCTTGAATTAGTACATTTCTTAGTATTTTGATAGATAACAATTGAATATAAACATTTCCTAGTTTTTAACAACCGCATCAATATAAAGCTTCTTTTCTAATTGATCATCTTAATTACTTCATCATAAATCCTGTTCAAAATATTCTTACCAATTAAGATTTTCTCAGAGTTAATTACACTTAAGTATTTAAGTCTTTTCCCTCATACAAGCCATCCCAACAATTTTACATTTCTCGTATCTTAAAAAAAAGAGAGAGAGAGAAAAGAAAAAAGAAGGAAATAGTATACTGCTTGAGAAACATGTCCCTCTTAAGCTAAGATACATTTATATCCCAAATTTTTCTATTATTTTTAACCATATTCAAACAAATGTTTAATCTTTAAATATTCCATCTAATAAATCCAATCATCTAATCTTCTGAATCTATTCAGAACATTTTTATCAACTGAGGTTTCCTCAAGATCAATTACACTTAAGTATCTAAAACATTCCCCTCATATAAACCATCCCAGTATTTTTATATTTATCATATCATAAAAAAATACTATGTTACTTAACAGGCCCATCCCCCTTAAACTAAAATACATTTATATCCCCAAAAAATTCTATATTTTAACCATATTCAATCAATTGTTTAATCTTTAGATATTCCATCTGATAAATCCCATCATCTAATTTCTTAATTCTAACTTTAGCCTTTTTTTTTTTGCCAAACATCTTTCCTAATCTGTATGCTCCGCTGGACCAAAAAGTCTTTCCATCGTCTTGTAGATATTGTTGTAAGTACAAGAGACGAATCCAGTAAGTTGTTTTTCTGGGTTTTGCCCCTTCGTATTCATTGAAAATCTTTTTCTTTCTCTTAATTTCTCTTATCGTTTTTTGTCTCTCAAATTCTCGTAGTTCTCCTGACAGCTCTATAATCCATTTTGTCGAATCTTTTTTCTTGTCCTCAGACTTATTTTGCAATCTTGAAGTGTAGATTATCTTTAGCATGTCAGATATTTACTGAAAGTTTTTCTCCACCTGGATTAAGTCATAATTCCTTCCATTGTTGGGTTCCATCTTTAAATCTCTTTCCTCTAGTTTATGTTGTCTGCTTTATCTGATCATACTCTATTTTTATTTACTGAGAGTTTTTTTGTTGTAAGGTTAAATTGAAGATGTGTTCATTTATATTTTCAAAGTTGTTTTTAATTTCCTCATGGTTTGAAATCATTGTCGTTTGAATTAATTGCAACATAGCATACATTTCCTCCTGGAAAGTATTTGTTTTTTCTTGATATGTTCTTTCTGCAGATCTCTGATGTTCCATTATAGCCAAAAATCAAAGTTTTCCTTTCTCTGCAAACAGCTTTAGAGTCACAGTTCAATAAGTATTTATAATCCAGGAAGATCTTTTTTTTTTCTCTAAGGTTTATAGTTCTTGCCTTGTAGATAGCCCAAAATGTTTTCTTTTCTTTGTTGCAGCTGTTCTCTGTTTAATTAAGACATTGAAGGTCACAAAAACAAGTTATCTTTTTCTGGGCTTTCTACCAATTCCTATATTAGAGCAACTACAGTTGTATATTTTCATCCACCACTAGATGTTAGCATCAGCTCGTTTTTCAATTTTCAAAACAAGCAATTACTTTCTTCTGTTTTCATCAAAAATCTTTTGAAAAGAAAATCTTAACAAATTCCACCAATTTCAAACGTATCTAGATTTAAGTCTTATAGTCATTTCATTTCAATATATTTCTGTCCCCCATAAAAGTTTAATTCACTGCTTCCTTCTGTGGGAGGGTGGGGCAAGACTCACTTTCAGAGGATTTTTGCTTCTTGGTTTTTTTTTTCCAGGAAATCAATTATCAAGTAGAAGAGAGAGAATCAATATTCTTACCCAGTTCCAAACATGTTGTTTATGATCAAGCTTAAATTAGTGCTTTTTGGCTTTGGCTGCTTGTAGCTTGGGCTAGACTCTGGGGTGAAGCTAGCCTTTCTTCTGCTGGTTTCTGGAGGGTTTCTCTGAATGACCGGATCGACTGCCATCTCTCCATGGTTGGCGGGGCTCCCCTACTTCTTTGTCACCTCTCCGGGGCGACTTTAGGCCCATTTAGGGTCCTCAACAGAGAAAATTGGCCATAGTGTGTGGAGCCCTGCGATCCCTTGGCTGCTGTACTACTGCGCACAACTGGAAGCCCTAACCCTAATTTTTTAACATTAAAATTGGATCCTGAGTTTTCTTGTTTTCCCTCACCCTTGACCATTGTCCATACTGTCTGGAATGAACGGTTCTGAAAATCAATACATTGGACTGATAAAGGCTCGTGTATCTAATTATGAATCCTCCAGGCCCAGGGGAATGCTAAAGCAGAGTCCCCCAATCTTTTGGGCACCAAGGACCAGTTCCGTGGAAAGAGGTTTTTCCATGGATCGGAGGCGGCACGGTTTCATGTGCTCCTTGCATCCCATGGATGGGGCTTCACTTGTTTGCATGGACCGGTTTCTGGCATGCCAGGGACCGGTGCCAGTTCATGGACCAGGGGTTGGGGACCCCTGTGCTAAAGTACACTGAACCCTGTAGTGTATTGAAAGAACAGAGAGCAAGGCCAGAGTTTCTGAGAGCTCTCTGGGTTTCTGCAGATGTTGGGTTGGACTTGAGCACTGCATCCCTTAAATAGCTCCTTCAAAGTCCCCCCCACCCCAGTTGCGTAGACATATGTATAGGTGCACAGAAGTCATCTCTACACCGTGACTGGCACCTCAGCACTTCAAGCAGGAGCTTCAAGGTGCACTGTGGTTCCTTTGCAAATTGCCTCTCCAAATAATTTGCACAGGCCAGGTATTAGTGCACTGAAGCCAAAATTATATTTAAAACTCTCCAACCCTTTTCCAGTTGAAGATAACATTGCTAATTCATTTATAATAAAAGCGATATTTTAAACAAAACAGTCCAAATTATACCTACAAAGCTTGTTTTATAACTCTGGATTTTTCAAGCAGGTATTCTGAGATCTTTGCTCCCATTACAGCTCCAGTTGGTGTGAACATCATTTCCAAGTATTTCCCAAAACGGCTAGAATTGTCATTGATAGCAGTGTGGGCATTCCCAAATGCTTCGACTAAAGGGTTCACTTGGAGGATCTTCTCCCGCAAAGCACGATTGTTTGCCTTCATAAACAGAAAAGGTCACAAGGAATTTCCTCTATCAGCAATATGCCCTCATATTCATTTAAAACATTCCTATCCTCATCCCGAACTGAAAGCAAATACATCAGCAAGAAGCAGTTGAAAGGGGAACACAATCAGGAACAAGATAACAAGAAACAAGAACAAACAAACAAACACCCCAGCATTAAATATCCATCTATTAATAGTTTGTGCAAATTTGTTTGAAGAGAACCCTTCCTAATTTCTCTGGGATATAATCCAATGAAAATACAAATTTAAAAAGTTGTTTTATTATACATAAAACCTACTAAATAAATACCCAAAAATTGATTTTTCAATTTTTGTTCTAAAACTCTCTCCATATTACAGGTAGACCTCAACTTAACAACCATTTAACAATTGTTCAGAGTTATAACTGCACTGAAAAGATTGACTTATGACCATTCCTTGCACTTACAATTGTGGTAGCGTCCCCAAAATCATGATTAAAGTTCAGGCATTTAGCAACTGGCACATATTTATGATAGTTGCAGAATCCTGGGGTCAGGTGATTTCCATTTGCAAACTTCCCAACTCACTTCTGACCAGCCAAGTCAATGGGGGAGCCAGAATCACTTAATGTCTACATGTTTCACTTAACAACCACAGTGCCCCCCTTAACAATCATGCAAAAAGGTTTGTAAAAATCAGGTGTGACTCACACTTAACCACTGCCTTAACTTAGCAACAGAAATTCTCATCCCAGTTGTGATCGCAAGTTGAGGACTATCTGTATTATGCTTTAACAAAGGATCTGAGACTGAAGTTAAGAAAAAATGGAAGCGGAAGCCTGTAATCACCTTGCCACAAGATACACTTGAAATGAGAAGGGAAGAAAAAACATGAAACATAAACATGAACCCAAAGATTTGTACACACTCATCCCTGCCAAATTAGCAAGTGGGCAACCTGTGGCCTCCAGATAATTCTACATTACAAATCTCAGCATCCTTCAGCCTGTCCCTCTTGCCTGTGGTGAGGGAGAATTGAAACCCAGTATAATCAGTTGAGACAGAGACTGCTCAACCCTGCACTAAATCTGAGTTTAAAGTTGCATGCAAATGCAGCCAGTACTTCACAGTATTATAATTTGAGTTATGTGACAGACAGTAAATACCTTTCCCAGGAAGGTCAAATGCTGCACAATGAGATGGGCACTTTCGGTCTTCCCGGCGCCGCTTTCTCCACTGATGATTATGCACTGATGGTACAAAACAGAAGAGAAGATGCATAATTGGCAACTCAAGGAATAAACCTTCATCCCTATAGTCATGTGCTTTAATATACCATTAAACATTTAACTATTTTAAATTATACTTTCTTCATGAGTATAAAACAAACTTTCAAAATTGCCCAGTTGAAAGTATTAAATATATATATAATATATATATATATATATATATATATATATATATATATATATATATATATATATATATATAGAATCCATGTGTTTGAATTGGATCTAGCCTACTAATAATGGAGAATACAGAAACATTTTCTATTTCTGCCAAATTCTTCCAGTGAGCATTAGAAAGGATTTCTGTCCCTTCTACAAATATAATCGCAGGAAATATTTATATATGAGTGACATTAAATCATGTCTGATTAAATAATGAATGACCCTGTACAGTACGTGACAAACAAGAAAATCAATTATTTTGGCAATAAAATTTGGAAGGTTTTGTTTAGGGATGTCCACTGAAGCCTTCAGTATCTGGATCTGGCCACCCCAGATGAAATGGTATGCAGAATTGGGAAGGTGAATCAAACAAATAATCTGGGATTGTTTCAAACAATGCAAGTGGCTGATAATTTCATTACAAGCACTATCCCCTTGGAACTGACAATATTAGGACTCTCTTGAAATGAGTTTTTCTTTACACAGGTTACTCCCTACATTTACACAATTTTTTCCCTGTGCTGGCCAGTTTATATCTACACTTTAGTTAGCTGGATTGTAGGGAAAGTGCAAGGGTCAACTCAGACCTCACATCACATACATAGCTACTTCTGTGAAAATAGTAGTCATGTGCTTGGTTGGGCTCTCTCTATGTGACATATCAAATTTGCAACAAGGTGACATTTAACCCTTTCAGGTTAAGACACTAGTATGGAAAAATGATTAAAAAAAATGAAGAACATAGCATCACAACATCCAATATCTGCACTTTAATATTGATTTTTTTTGTTTTAATGTATTTACTTTGTTTTAACTTAATGACCCTCTGAAAAACTGATGAAGAGAGAAACATATATCGACAAGTTCTACCAGGTATTATGTGAAGGCAGGAAGCCAAATGGATGATTAATGTTTTGGGCAGCAGCTGCCTATTTTGTTGAACTCTACCTTGGTTCCTGAAGCATCCTAGAAGAACAACTATTCAGAGTACTTTTGGTTGTTCTACTTTTAAAGGAAAAAAAGAAGAGAGAAAAAGGTCCTTCTAACAGTCACCTTCGTGAAGATCCCTGCACATCAACTCATTTTCTCTTTATTCCAAATGGTAATATGCCTGTATTTATTTTCTAGAGCAGGAGTGTCCAACCTTGGTAACTTTAAGACTTTAAGTATCTAAAAAGAGAATGTAAATATTCCCTTTTTCACTTTAAGTAATCACATGCAAAATATTCAGTGACAACGGTGTTCAAAACACAGATCTGCCATTTCATACACTGCAAACATATGTGAAAAGCATGTCCTGTAGAAAAACTAAGGACAATATAAAATTTTGGCCTATGATTACAGATCTAATATTACTATAGAAACAACTCTGATGTAAAGAAATACCAAGCTGCATATCGAAAAAAAAATGTAGATATCAGAAAGAATAAAAGATAAAGGGACAAACATCCAGTTTTGGTCACCACAATGTAAAAAAGATGTTGAGGCTCTAGAAAGTGTACAAAGAAGAACAAAGATGATTAGGGGACTGGAGGCTAAAACATATAAAGAACGATTGCAGTGTTCCAATATCTCAGGGGTTGCCACAAAGAAAAGGGAGTCAAGCTATTCTACAAAGCACCTGGAGGCAGGACAAGAAGCCATGGATGGAAACTAATCAAAGAGAGAAGCAACCTAGAACTACGGAGAAATTTCCTGACAGTTAAAACAATTAAATCAGTGGAACAACCTGCTTTCAAAAGTTGTGAATGCTCCAACACTGGAAGTTTTAAAGAAGAGACTGGACAACCATTTGTCTGAAATGGTATAGGGTTTCTTGCCTGAGCAGGGGGTTGGACTAGAAGACCTCCAAAGTCCCTTCCAACTCATCATCATCATCATCATATCACCATCACCATCACCATCATCCTCATCATCAACATCATCATTATATTAGTATTCAAATGAAAGCTCAAACTCTAATTCAAGTATTAGGTTAACTTTTCCTATTGTTCTAGAGAATATACTAGCTTTGGAACAAATGTTATACCACTATGAAAATTTACTAGTTGAAAATACTTTATCCTGTAAAATCTAGTTTATATCTGAGTTTGGAGGAAACTTTCTCCCCCTCCTCCTTGCCCCTTTCTCCTTCCTTCTTCAACACCCAATTAGTTTAGCCCTGTCACTATCCTGGCTTCTCATCTCGAGGCACGTTCCATTTTTGTCAATGTCCTTCTAAAATAGAGTGCTGAGAACTGGACATATTTCTCCAGATAAGGTCTGGCTAGTATAGAGATTACATTCCATGACCCAGAAATTATTCTCCTTCTGTTGATGCAGCCTCAAACTGCATTAGCTTTTCAGTCTTCATCATGCCACTGACTCATCTTCAGCTTGTGATTACTAAGGTTATCTAGATTGTTCTCACATATATCACTACCACAAGATATCTCTCCCATCTACAATAAGTGTCTTTTTTTTTAAAGCAAGACCTGAATTCTATAGTGTCATTTGTAAAATTCTTGGAAGCCCTCTTTCAGACTCATCCATTCAGATTATAAAAGTACTGAACATCTATGGCTCAGGACAGATACTGTTCCTCCCCAGACTTACTAGCTCCATACTGATGCAAAGACATGAATGAGAATAGGTGTTGTGTTGGAATATAGAAAGCTGGATTGCAGGAGGGAGGGGGAGCATTCCAGAAGAATAATAATCCAGATATTTTGTGTGAGAGAAAAAGGGTGAAGACAGCCCCTCCCTAATAGTTCTTAAAGTATGTATTTGATGTTTCCCCGAAAGTAAGACAATGTCTTATATTATTTTTGCCTCCAAAAGAGGCATTAGGTCTTAATTTTGGGGGTGTCTTATATTTTTCATGACACCTGCTTCGCCTCGTGGCGGCGGCACCAACAAAGATTTCACGAGAAGTTGGAAGGTCTGACTGAACTTTTTTTAGTCCCGCAAACTCCGTTTCCCTGCAGCAGAAGAGAAATGCGCTAGAGCTGGAAAGCAGGTTAGCAAAGAAATGCTTTCGGGAAGAGGGAGGAGCTGCGCCGGGAGGAGAAGTGGCAGGAAACGGGGCTGCCGTTTCCAGAAGGGAGAAGGGAGATGCGGGGCAATGCAGGCAGCAAGCAAGTGCTGTTCTCTGCTATGCATCCCTGCGCAGAGCTGCTGCGTTCTCTGTTCTCCATAAGACAGGCAACAAAGGGCTGGCAGAGGCAGGCACCTGGGAGAGTTGGCAGAGGACAAATAGGCGGCGGCTGCGCCCGGGCAGATAATCTGCAGGGTGAAGCTTAAAGAAAGCCCCTCCAGTGGCGCACGACAGCAGCAGAGCCATTCACCGTCACTCCCCCCTGGCTCCAAAATGGCAGAGAGGGACCAGGCCTACCCCGTCCATCCCATCCACCGTAACATGGCAGTCCGGCTCGGGAGGGGAGTGAAAGGTTGCCAATCAAGGAATGGCCTGGTGGGGGGGTCCGGGTCCGGTAAGCGGGTACCGGGTGCATGGGGCACTCCACCCCCTCCCCCACCTGCCTCGCCTCATTGTGGTGGCAGCGGCGCGATGTGCCATGCGGCCTCCTGCCCCATTGCAGCAGTGAGGTGGGATGGAGTGGGCAGGGTCCTAACTAGGGCTTATTTTTGGGTAGGGCTTATATTAGCCCCCTCAAAAAAATCAGGGTAGGAGGGGCTTATTTTCGGGGAAGCACAGGTAGTAGATGTTGTGGCTCCGTCCTGTGGGTCCCTCTCATCGGAGGAGGAAGGCTCTGAACATGAAGGAGAGGAGATGGCCAGGCCTCCCTCTCCAGGACCTTCCCCTCTGGTGCGGCCTTCGGTGCCTTCCGACGGAGAGGAGATTGGCCAGGAGCCAGGTGCTTCTGGGATTGGCCAGGAGCCAGGTGTATCGGACTCCGAGGAGNATTTTGCTGAATCTTATGTTGCAGCACTCCGGCAATTATCCTGGACTTGTCTTGTGTTTGTATTGTGTTATCAGTAAAGGTCTTGGCAGGCAGCCACGGAGTTGCTGCCAAGTGTTTATCTGTTTTTGGCAGTGCTGAGCAGTCTTTTAGCCCTCGGCTGACTGGTTGGGGGGTGTGAGTCGGACGGGGGACAGAACAGTAGAATGCTTCAGTTGGCAAGATTCAATCTATAGGAACTCTGCTCAGAAGTCTCATTATGTGTCTTTCTTGGTTTTGGGGCCTGACAGGTGTGGTTGTTGCTGAAACAGCGGTCCAACCAAGTAACACCAGACCCAACTCACACTGAATCAACTTTCAACAAGTATATTAGAAGAAATCTTGGCTTCAATATTTTTGAAATCAGGCTATATCACATCTGCACTTTTTATGATGCTTGGATGTACACTGCTAGTATGTGCAAATCCTTTGCATGCAGAGACAGCTGGGATATAATTACAAAACAGTCACACAGGTCTTAAAAAGAGATGCAGCTTCTTTATTGATTCTTTTCAGAGATGTAATACAGGAAAATGAGATTAAACCAATAGTCTGGAAAAAGCTCTTAATCAAATGGAATCTCAGATACCATTTGAAATATCTTGTTATTTAATTCTTATCATACAGATAATTATTATCCACATAGCAAAAATTATAATACCTTGAGTACACCCAAATCTGTTTCTTAGTCTGCATATATTGTCATATATTCTAGATACGACTAATGCTAAAAACAATCTATTGTACTTTTAAATATACTTTACTAAGAATCTTACATAGAAATTTCTATTACCAGCTATGTTTAAAACACAATTATGACCATGATTCAAAACCTCATTAAATTCTGTACAGCGTATTTGACAAAGTTTAATCAATGACAAGTGAAAAAATGCAGCATTTTCCTATGTCGTGCATATAATTGTAAGTATTAAAACAACACAAATGTTTTCTTACCTGGTCTTTATTAAAAGTAATCATGCCTTGGTAAGCAGCATCTGCAGTTGCAAATATGTGGGGTGGGTTGGAGGAACGCTTCACACCATGATAAAGCTTGGAAAACTAAATACGAAATCACACTTGTCAAAACACTGCATATGAACCAGGCAACTGGAAAATACACATCAAAATGCAAAGAAGCAGAACCCCCGACTCCTGCATATGGTTTCTCTCTGTCCATAGTAAGCTGTCTTAGATCAAATTATTTGCCAATGCAGATAGATGTCTACTCCAAACGGCAATGCCTTTCCCAAAAAAAAGAAGAAGTTTCTATTGCATCCTTTCACCTGGAGATACCAAAGACTGAACCCACACCCTTCTTGTGCCCTTATATTTCTCCCCAACATCCCTTCTATATAGGTAGTCCTCCAGATAGGAACCTAATGGAGCCTGCCAATTAGGATCATAAGTAAAAAAAATTCCTCAAATGAATCAGACTCAACTTTACAATTTTTTAAAATCAAATTCATTAATTGAATCAAATAGGTTGTTAAATGAACAAAGATCTGTCTTACTATTTCCTCCTATTTGTTAACTGATCAGTGCCATTTAACTGAACTCAGCTGCCACCCATCAGCTGTTTTCAATGCAGCCTTGGCTCAGGAACTAGTAAATTGCCTCCAAGCAGGGCTTGCAGCCATTGCAATTGCTTTTTTTAAAAAAAAATCCGTTGTTGCCAGTAAGCTCAAGAGTCTTCAGCTGCCCAGAGGGGGGTGGGGAGGTAATTTACAGAACTCTCAGCTTGCAACAGTAACAGAGATGGAAGGGACCTTTGAGATCATCTAGTCCAGGGGTGTCAAACTCAATTTCATTGAGGGCCGCATCAGCATTGCGGTTGCCCTCAGGGGGCCGGGTGGGTATGGCCAGGGTGTGTGCGGCCTACTGGGTGGGCATGGATGGAGTGGGTGTGGCCTACTGGGTGGGTGTGGCCAGCTCTACATCGTTTGTGTCAAAGGGGCCGGTGGGGGCCTGGGCAGGAGTGGGATAGATCTGAGGGTCTCTGGCAGAAGGGGATGGGACCAGGGCAAGTGCCAAGGCATGGTCCACTGGAGGAGCCTCACTGTTCCTCTCAGACCATGCAGGGGGGCAGCTTATGGACCTGAGAGAGAGAGAGAGAGAGAGAGAGAGAGAGAGAGAGAGAGAGAGAGAGAGAGGTGTCCCAAAGACTCTGAGGATGTGGCTCTTTACCCACGCCTTTGGTGGAGGCTGATCTGTGCTCCTTCTTTCCCTTATTCCTATCCTGCTTTATTTTCTCTCTGGAGCCATTTTTGCTCCTTTGGTGTTGTTTTGTTTCACATTCTTTGTTTTAAATGTTTTTAACACTTTGTATTCAGCAAGCCTTCATGGTACAGTATGTTGAGATATTTTTCCAACGCCCTTTCTTCTTCTTCAACTGTATTATATACAGCAGGGGAAGTATTGGTACAATTTGTTACCCTAACTTAGTATTCTTTATTCAAAAATACATTATTAAGAAGCGCCCTCCATCAATTGCTATTGTTAATAAAGGAAAACATGATCACCAGATACAGCATAAATAGTTTGAAAAGGAGCTTCTCTCTTACCTGTGGAGAATATATACTGAGATTTTGGAAGGGGTTTAATGCTATTAAAATATCTCCAACATAAGTATAGATTTGTAAATCTCCATATCGCTTCTTCAGCTGATAAATAATTGTATCCTGAAAAGATAAGTTTCACAGTTAAGTAGTGATTCTTGGAAATTCACTGTAAATGTAATAAGCAATAATCTCCAGTATTATTTGTCACTTTTCTCAAATATTAACTTTACTAAATCAAACCATTGCTTACACAATTCAAATATACGTTTATAGCTATACCAAATAAAAAGCAACATGTCTGTCTTGTACATTTTGGTTATATAGGTAAGAGAAATGAATTCTAGATATCATCATTCAAATGTATATTTGGAATATAATGACACAACAAAAATAATTCTAATTTTAATTCCACACATGAAGCTAACTTGCTTGTTTCAAAAACAGATTATCTACAATTATTTGTATTTATGTATTTATTACAATTGTAACATTTTACTACAGTTCAGTTTTAATGAAGACAAAGCAATTTTACATGGCAGTCACTGCTGAAATCTATTTTCACTTAGGTACTGTGGTGTATTTTGACAAATCCTAAGCATTAATTTTCTCAACTAAAATTATAAAAAGAAAAACAATGAACTGAGTTACCAAGCGTATTGTTTTTCTATCATGATGCCTATTTGTTCATTTTTATTAGATACATAACTCTTAACAAATGCATGAAATATGAAAAAATCCCCTTCTTAATTTTTATAAATTGTTGCATTGCCTTGATCTAGCAATTCTTAATGTCAATAACAGGAAACAGTTCTTTCACCCCATCCCACCCCAACTCAAGCAAATGACATTTTCTTCTTATATAAAGAACCCTTAAACATTGCTCTCTTTCCTTTGGTTCACAAAGGAAAAACTGGCTCCTTGCCTACTATAATTAGATATGAGAAGACCCTCATAGGATTAATTATGAAAGTGGCTGGTATCAGCAAGCAATAGGTTAGGCACGCAATAGGTTGGGCACACAAGTTGGTATCTAAGAGCCAAGTTACTTATGATGGCTGGCAACAGCAATGTGATTTAAACAGCTGTATATGCAAGGGATATGGAAGTCTGTTCTTTCTACCCATAATTGCTGCACTGTTTTTTCCCCAGTGGTGGCCCAAAGATATATATAGCCCCCCCACTGGGAAAAAAAATGACAGACATAGAAGTGATCAATTATGTGTAGAAGGCACTCCATTTCTGCTTATTCATGCTGCATTTTTCTTCTTCTACTCTTCCTCACAATTTCTTCTCAAACAAGACTTCATAATCCCTGAATTTCCAGCAATTGTCGTCCATGTTAGCTGGGAATTCTAGAAGTTGTAATCTCAGTAGTATCAAGAGGATGCCATGTTAGGGAAGACTGTTCTCTAAATGACAGAAAACCACGACCGCCTATGATTTGGCTCACTACCAGTATCTATTTCGTAGTTGCATCAGAATGCTGTGTGCAGCAGCTTTTTGGGGGGTACAGATTATGCCTGTGCACATTCCAAAGATCATATAATAATTATGGGAATTTTTTTATATAAAGCTCCCATATATACAGACTCATGCCCCCCCCCCAAGCACAGGTTATATGGTTACTTCAAAACTGTGCAGCATGACCATAAAAGGAAGATTCAACAAATGAAGCTCTTGGAGTCGAACCTGTCTTGCTCTTTCTTGCTGTTGTGAAGAGCAGGCTTCAAAGCCTGCCATTTACTATTTCTCACCCTCTCACGCCACAAGGGTTCAGGAATACTAGTACACATTTTGTCTCAGGCATGATCTTTGGTGTGTAAACAGTTCTCATTCCAAGGTCTCCCTCTCAAGGAGGAGGAGGAGGAAGAAGTTTGTTTTCAGGGGGAGACTGTGGACAGTTCTCTGAGGGAAGCTCCAAAGTGCTTTTTTTTTTTTCTTCAAGAGGCAACTGGACTTTCTTGTGTTTCTTTTGAAGACGTTTTGCTTCTCATCCAAGAAGCTTCTTCAGCTCTGACTAGATGGTGGGGGGTGGAAGGATTCATATTGCTTGCAGACAGATGGTCATTTGCATTCCTTCAAAGCAGTGGTTCTCAACCTATGGGTCGCAACCCCATTTAGGGTCGATCGACCATTTCACGGGGGTCGCCAAGCAAGGCTGTCCGCCATTTTTTTTCCCCTTTTCCAGCGGGTGCCTTACCTCCCTTGGGCTGGGCCAGCTGGTGGTCGGCCTGCTCTGTCTCTGCCGCTTGCCAACTACACCTCGGCCGGCGCAGGGGGCAGAACCACGCATGTGCGGTGCTCCCGGGCAGGGAAAGTCCTCGACTTACGACCGGTTGGGTAGTCCTTGACTTACGACCGGTTTAGTCCTCAGCTTACGACCGGTTTAATCCTCGACTTACGACTGGTTGGGGTCGCGGCATTAAAAAGGTTGAGAACCACTGCTTCAGAGAGTCCTTGAAACCATTTTGGAGGTTTACCTGTGTCCTCAGAAGTGCAAATGTGTGTGGAGCCTTCTTGGCTGCAGGATATTTTCTGCCCTGTGTCCCTTCACTGTTGAAAACAGGCACAGGCTATTGGGGATGAGTCTGTGCTGTCTGGGGAAAGGGAGATGAACAAGAAGCAGCATGCCAAGGCAGGGAATAGGAGAAGACAGTGATCACTCTCCTTCCACCTCAGACTGAAGTTTTGAACTTCCTGAAATGAAAAGGAAGTCCCAGTAAAGCCGAATCAGAGGAGATATCTGATTTGAATTTCTGAGACTTACATAGCAAAGCCGGCTCTAGACATTTTGCCGCCCTAGGCAAAGTCATATTTTGGTGCCCTCATCTTTCAATTTTTTTCTAGGAATCTCAAAAAGGTACCCTTTTGTTTTGTTTTTTCTTTTTAATTTTTGAGTGTTACACTACAGATTTTCAGTCTGGGCATGCTTTGTTTTCCTGTGCACCCTTTTTATCCAATAAGTCATTTTAATTACATCAGCACTCACTGTTTTCATATAGCAATAATTCCTTGAAATTATATTTAACCCTCCAGCAGGCAAGCATATAGGCTCATGGAGTTCTTATTTTTGCTTTTTTATTTGTTTTTCAGAAGTCTTTAATTTTACTGCTCTTAAAATTTAGTGTCCCTAGGCTAGTGTCTACTTGACCCTAATCTAGAGCAGGCCCTCTTGGGTAGAAATGGTTAATTGTATAGTTAGAACTCCATTCAATTAATCTTCATAGAGGCTGCATTTTAATCTCCCTGCCTAATTTAAGGGTATTTTCTGTCAGTTGGAATCAAAAATTCAGAGGGTCTGTATTACTGAACTCTAAAAGAACCAGTTTCCCTTACTGGTAGTTAATCATTGCCAACTGGGATATGTTGGGTTCTACCTGGACTGAACTTTGTGGATTAGTCGATGAAGTACATTTGTTCCTCTCTTATGATAATGTTCAATCTTTTTTTCTTTTAGTTTAATGTACTGTGGCTTGCTTTTAAGTAAGCTTCCCAGACCCACTACTATATTTGGAATATATGAATATATGACTGGAGATTAGAATAATATGATACAAGGTGTTTTTTAAAATTTTGTCAGAACTTTGAATGATCAACTTGATAACAGGGTGATATTAATCACAAGAGTGACTTGAAGGCAATTACAATTAGTAAGATTACTATTTGTACTGAGAAAGAATCCATCAACTCGTCATATCTTACCTCGTCCAAAATTTCAAGGTTTACCAGATCATCATCTGGAGAATATTTGTCAGAAGCTTCAACATGATATGGTCTGCGATTATGCATTTGTTCATGCCTGTAAAATGGTTGGAGTACCTGTGTGAAAAATATTCTTCCTAAAAAGACATATGAAAAAACCCCTACAATACTTCAAGTTGCAGCTTGTATTTTCCATGGGTCTGGGAAATATTTAATGGGGTCATGTCCTCTGGAATATTTTCAGAACTTCACAATGCCATAGTCTTACACACACACACACACACACACACACACACACACACACA